AATGGACATTCCTTCATGAAGCCTTTGAGAGCCTTGTGCTTGCAAATGGGGGGCGGCTGCGCTCCCCTAATGCCCCCGCTCGATGTAGCTGTGGGAACCTGCTTGAATGTATGTATGCATGTAAGTATGTATGCATGTATGTATGTATGCGATGCATACATATGTATGTATGATAAAGATATCTAAAGTTGGCTCAGTATAGTATGTTATAATATTCTTTCAATAAACATGTATTAAATATAAAATATCTGTTCAAAAAAAATGCCATGTTTTCCTGACTCCGGAAACGGTGCTATGAACCGGAATCGCCAAATGAGGGGGCGTGTTTAACATGCATGATGAACTGACATTGCCAAATGACGGGGCGTTTTTAAGATATATGATGAACCGATCTCGGCAATGAGGGGGCGTGTTTCAGATATATGATGAACCGAATCGCCAAAGGAGGGGACGTGTCTAATTTAAGTAAGATATATGATGAACCGGAATCACCAAATGAGGGGACGTGTTTAAGATATATGCTGAACCGGCTCACCACATGAGGGGGCGTGCTGTAAGATATATGCTGAACCGGAATCGCCAAAGGAGGGGACATGTTTACGATCTATGATGAACCGGAGTCGCCAAATGAGGGGAGTGTTTAAGATGTATGCTGAACAGGGAATCGCCAAATGAGGCGATGGGGCGCGTTTAGGATATGTGATGAGCCGGAATCGCCAAATGACTAATGAGGGGGCTTGTCTGAGATATATGATGAACCGGAGTCGCCAGATGAGGCGGGATTGTTTAAGGTATATGCTGAACCGGAATCGGGGGATATGTTGAACCGGAATCGCAAAATGGGCGTGTTTTAAGATATATGATGAATCGGAATCGCCAAATGAGGGGGCGTGTTTAGGATATATGATGAACCGGACTCGATTGGAGCGTGTTGCAAAAGGTATGATGCACCGGAATCGCCAAATGAGGGGGCTTGTGTAAGATAAATGATGGGACCGGAGCCTCCAGATGAGGGGTTGTTGTGTAAAAGATATGCTGAACCGAAATCGCCAAATGAGCGGGGCGTTTTCCGAGCTCAAACGCGAGTGTGTGCTGGTAAGTGTGAGCTGATTTCCTTTCCCCAAGCCTTCCCCTTCACAAGGCTCCCTTCAGACTGCAGTCCGCATGTGCGGTGGGAACGTAGGACACAAAGCCAAAGAGACTGCAGATTGCAAACTGTGGAGGCTGGTCGTTCCAACACGATCAACGTACACCGGCGCACCCTGTATCTACTGACATTCTTAACCAAACTCGATTTCTATGTTTTGGGCAGGGGTCGTATAGCATCCGGGTGAAAGGATTACAATCATGTCTGCTTGCAGAGTGTCCTTTCCTTATCCGTCTTTCAGCAAGTCGCTGCCACATGCATGTTGACTTGTCAGGAAAATGGTCGGCGAGACAGAAGTTTCGACCCGAGGCAGGAGCTTGCAAGTGCAGTTGCATGGAACTCTATGCATGCTGGAAGCGTCAGCACATTTTTGCGGTTTGGAAGGTCCAGCATGCTGAAACCCCTCACGTCCCCGATCAGCGGCCTGGTGGACAGGTCCGGTTGTGCCCAGCACTGCCAAGTTGGGGATTGTCGCACTCCGTTGGGGCGTGCTGCAGAGTCTATGTAGAATCTCGATGCTGCGACAACATATTGATGCGGCAAGTCTTGCACAGGCAGCTCTTCAGTTGTGTTAGCTGTTGGCATGTTCGGCTCTGTTGATTTCCTGCTGCAGCAGGAGCTTGTGCAGCGAGCCTGGTGCCCGGAAATGGATTTCAGTGGGGACCCTTGCCTTCCCACCCATCGGGGATTCTGCCTTGCAGTGGGAAACGGGCGGGTCGCCCCTGGCTGGAGGCTCAAAATGATTACAAAAGATGTGGCCGCGTTGTTCGGACAACTGGTTCAGGTTTCAACTCTTGGCGATTGCTCTCGATGCAGCACAGGGTGCAGCAGGCCGTGGCCAGCTGCTGGATTACTTGCCTTGGAATTCTGTGGATGATTGTGCATGGCGATGGCAGCCAGTTGCAGAAGCTATTTCTTGCTCTAAGCCATTGCCACCGCACTGACGCATCCCCCCTTCCTCCCTCCTCGCTCCTCCCAGCAATCTTCCACTATGCCACAGCAACGTGCAGGAGATGAATTTCCCCGAGGGCACAGATGCTGCATTGTTCGTGGCGTTTTCTCCCTAAGTCTTCAACTCTCAGCCATGGAACCCGTAAAGCCCCTCATGCTGGGGCCAAAGCTTCCCAGCCTGAGGGCCATGCAGCAGGCGGCGCAAGAGTTTCAAGAGAAGCCAGCCTTCCGAGCTTTAGTTTGGATGTCTCAGAGCGTGCCTTTGAAACTTTGAGGCATCAAGGCCTTGGTCGAGGTGGTTTGAGGCAGAGCCGGCGCCACCCGAGCTCTCACGCAGTCGGCAGATGCGGTGCTATCTGGCTGCTTTGGGCTTTGGCACCTCGGCTTCGGCTGAGAGGCCTCAGACGCTGATGCATCCCTACCGTCACGAGCTATCCACTTAGCCTGCTTACATTGCCCTTGGGTTGAAGGGCTGGCCGCAAAACCCGCTCGAGCGGCTCAAACCAAGAGTGCTTTGTCCACGGAGGACCGCGAGCTCAGATAGCGAGTTGCAGCGAACTACCGGTGCGGCAGCGAGTAGAAAGCCCGCGACACGATAACCATCGCAGGACAAAATCGCGATTCTGAAAGAGGCACCTGCATTGTCCTCATGAGTGGCGCAAGCGGCGCAAGAGTTAGGAGTCAAAGACGCAGCATGACGCAGCTTGACCACCCCATTGCAGGTGCAGAGTATGGGCGACGTTGCAATGAGTGCGCCCACAGTGGAGGAAGAAGAGGCAGCTGAAGCAACAGAAGCATACTGCGCCCGTCACTGTGCAATGCAGTCATTCCATTTGTGTGGCATGCAGCATCTTGCTTGGTTAGGCCGCATGGACGAAAATGTTGGAGCGCTTCGCGGGACTTCCAGACATCGAGGACTCCAAACTCCAAGCTGACGACGTTGCTCTCACCCTGCTAGAGCCCGTAAAGCCGAAGCATCTCGCTTCGACAGACTGCTTTGTGTTAGCATCAAAGAGTCTAGGAGTCTAGGGTCTACTGTAGAGAGACTTCCCGAGTCGATGCAATGTGCCGAGTTCTCACCGTTGCTTCTACTTGCAGTGACCGTTTCAGGGCAGCTTTCCCGAGCAGGTTCGCGTGCGCAGCAATCGTGGGAACTCACTAGCACGGCAAGGCAAGCTGAAGGAAGCTCTCGAGGCCGACCCGCTCGATCCGGATTTTTACACAAGGTTTCAGGCAATCAGTGGACAGCCTCATGGCCATGCTTGGTGTTTAGCCTGCCTGCCTGAGTCACTGCGTGCATGGGAGCTTGTGGTGGTGAACAGTCCCTCAAGCCTGCAGCTCCGTGCGGGGTGACGTCAAATTGTCCGACTCGTGGATTGGAGGATTACAACCGCGCCATCGAGCTGGTCCCAGAGGCTGTCAAAAATTCCACGTGAGTTCGCTACTCTGTAGCGGAGCTTGTGCCCGTCTCTGTACTTGGTCTTCCCAAGTCCACAGGACTGCATTGGGTTCTTCTGCTGTGCGTTGAGCTGGTGCAGAGGCAGTCGATCCGCACCTGAACCGTGGGGCTGTTTATGAGTCCCTGGGCCGGCTGGAGGATGCCCTTTTAGACTACGACGCTTGGCGGCTGTCCAGCGCCTTCTATCGGATCGTCTCAGCCCATTTAAGGCTGCAGTTGTGTAGCCACTGGCCATTTCCACTGTGTGAAGCCAAGCACTGAGGATGTGGTTCTACAACAGGATCCTGGTGACGCGTGGACTGCATGTGAATAAAGCAGCATAATGCCAGCATCGCTCGCCCTCATCGGAGCCGAGGACCCGGCTGCCTGGAACAATCGTGGCAACGCCTTGCTAGGAACGTGGTTTGCACGTGCTGGAGCAAACCGGCTGCGCCAGTCGTGGCATCATGTTGTGAGCCTTTGTTTTTAAGCATGCTATGGTGGACAGCTTGAATACATGACGGACCGCAGAATTTCCTCTGCTTGCAGGCCTCCAGCGGTTTGAAGAGGCTAAGGATTCGTTCCAGCAGGCCATGCCCTTATAAGCATCAGCTGTGCTTCCTGGCTGCACTCCGACTCCGAGTCAGGCGCTCGACATTTCGGGCTCGCAGCGCTTCGCCTTTGCCGGAGTGAACCTTGCTCTGGCCGGGCCCGGGCAGGGGGCGGCAAATTGTTTGCTTGCGGAGGGGCGACTGGGTCAAACTCGGCAGCTTCTTTCTGCAGTGCCGGTCATACGATCGGTGGGGGCTGTTGATTCTTGTGATTGTATGATTGAGCTATGGTGGAGGTCCCGGGGTGCTATGAGCGGTTTTGAGCAGTGGTAACGGCGGTGCCAGTGCCCGGTGCTTCGGTGTGGCTACTGCTTGTTGTTGGTGCAGGGTTTCAGCGGTTGTGGTGGCGGTGGTGGTAGCAGCACGTCGTCATAGATTCGCCATGCCATCGCGCACATTGACACAGACTCTAGAAGCACTGTTGTTGGTGGTGTTGCTAATGATTTGTTATTGCACTTTCTGATCGATCTGGGTGGGTTGATTGCAGGCACAGTACGAGCTTGGCGAGGACGACAACGCAGTTCAGACACTGCGGAAGCTGCTAGCACGCTACGCGGAGGCAACCCTTGCCGGCAAGTACTGCTTGCATGCAGGAGCATGACTTTGGAAAGGTGTATACACACAGGGAAGAATGGAACCGAGCAGGGCTTGCCGTTAAGCAACTCACCGCCTTGGAGGCTTTTCCCGATGCGCGTGCCGCCTATGCATTAATCCTCTGGGACAAGGGGGATCCTATCCTTGGAGAGTCAGTGACCTGCCGGCACACGGTGGTTCGTTCTCGAGTCGGAAAAGGTGACAACCTACATAACTACAACCCTGAAGAGCAAAAGACGCCTTTGCACTGTGACTTCCACCCAGCCCTGATTGAAGCAAAAAGCCAGGAGACCCCGATGCATCTGTTCGGACTGGGACGTCTGATGCCTGTGTATTCAACAGCAGCTTACACAACTTCTAAATCAACCGCAGATACGTGCACCATTCCTTCTTGCAACGCACCGGGGGTATCGGATTTCAAGGAGTGGGACCGTGCCACGGCCGCGGATCCGCGGTACCGGTCGGCTGAGTGGGTTCAAGGCCCGAAGTCGCCATGACATGATGGATTTCTGTTGCTGCATCTTGTCGATCGGCTTCGCCTGTGTTCCTGTTCAGAGTGTCATTGCAGCATTTGACTTGTCTAGCGGGGGCAGTTGCTGACCTTGGATGTCTTCCTTGCACTGTGACTGTGATAGTCTGTGATCAGGCTTTCGCCGCTGGCCGCCGCGGCTCTTGGGTATTTTCAAACGCTTTGCAGCTACCACTTCCGTGAAGGCCCTTGGCATCATTTGAGAACTCGGAGGCTTGAAGGTTGCTCTATGCTGCAATCATCTGAAATTTCCGCCAGGTTGGCATGACCTAGGGATGCAGATTGCTTCTCCAAGCCCTACTGTACATGCCACTGACGAGTCTGGCACGATGGGCATTCTTTGAAGCATCGAATGTTGAAGATGCCGAGTATATCTGTAGCATTTGGATCTGGATTCAGTTGCAGCTCGCTTTCTTCCGCCCTCAGTTGATTAGCAACCTATCTTTTCCGACACTGGCTCTTCGTGTGGCCAGGTGAAATGAGTCGTGGCCGACGGCAGAAGAGCAAAAAGTGCTCCTGCATGCAGCAGACACACATCCCATCACACTGCTAGGTCGCTTTACGTAAAATTACGTTCAAACGAACGAAACCGAAATGCAGCAGAACCAGTACGAGAGATGTCGGCAACTAGTGAAACTAATCCCTTCCCCGTAATATTAAACGCCTCCCCCCCTCCCCCCCTCCCTAATATTAAAACTGGAATCCGGCGGTTTAGTTTTAATATTAGGGGGGTTTCCGGCGCATGCGGGCACGACTGGGATCAACTTAAGCCCTAAACCTTAAGCCCTTAACCCCTAAGCTCTAAAGCCTTAAACCCTAAACCTTAAGCCCTTCACCCCTAAGCTCTAGAGCTTTAAACCCTAAACCTTAAACCCCCAAAGCCTGGAGCCCCAAGCTTTAAACCCTAGAGCCTTAAACCCTAAGCC